GTTAGTAGTTCAAAATTAAAATTCCACGCAACGCGTGTGTATTTATCTAGTTATAAAAACTTTCCAAAAGTCTGGTGGAATATTTTCGTTATAAAAAGTCAATTCGTTTATTAACTTGCTTTATCTTCTCGAAATTGATTAATGGTTTTTTAATCTGTGGATTAAATATCTTCTTTATATTAAAGGATAAAAATTTACAAAAACGTACAACGCACACTTGCAAAAACATTCTCACAATAACCACAAAAATTCTCAACGCTAAATCATTTTAGATCTTTCAAACCTCCTGGATACTAAACAAAATATTTAAACTCGTGTACTTACTAAAAATAGTCATATCCAACCCGACTTTACAAGACCCGACCCGAGAACCTTCTTCTTATTTTTTTGGTTAAACAGGTTAATCTTTTTTGAAAAGCAAAAACAGCAGTACAAAGATTTTACATTTTGAGCCAAGAAAATTAAAAAGGTAAAGGAGAGTCAATTTTATTGTCCTCATGTTTTGTTGGATTTAAACTTCGAATTGACAGAACTATGCTGAAAAGGAGGGGTCTAGTGGTCTTGTCATTATGCTTGCATAAACTTCCTCACAATAACCACCAAATTTCTCAACACAATATAACACAAGTATTTCAAACCTTCTCGAAACTGAAACCAAATATTTTAACTTACGTTCTCACTAATATCACACATACCCAACCCGACCCGAGAACACCTTATAAATATGGCCCAAACAGACTGACGAATCTCTCAAAACAATAAACGGTCTCTAATTTCTCTCTCTTTAATCTCTCTTGAGCATAGATTCCAACTATGATACGTGTACTTCCTCGAGAGTAGCCATCATAGGTGCGGGTGTAAGCGGTTTAGCAGCCGCTAAGCATTTAGCCAGTTACAAACCACAAGTCTTTGAAGCCTCTGATTCAATTGGAGGTGTTTGGAGCAAATGTACGTACGAGACTACTAAGTTGCAGTCGGCTCGTGTAAACTACGAGTTCTCAGACTTTCCCTGGCCGAACAGAGAAGAAAGTAGCTTCCCTACTTACGTAGAAATATTGGAATACTTGGACGCTTATGCAAGGCATTTTGACGTTGTAAATTTTATAAGGTTTGGCTGCAAGGTTTTTGAACTTAGCTTCACCGGTGATGGCAAAACTCAGCAGATGGGTGATCTTGGTGCCTAAGACAACTTGTTGCCCGGAAAATCTGTTTGGAAAGTTGCTGTTAAGACAAGAGATGGAGATATTCAGGTTCGTTTGTCTTAATATTCTTTACATGTTATACGATTGCATGCAAATCCATCTATTTAGACGGATTTCATTTGAATTATATATTTTTGACGATTTATTGTGTTAGTAATTTTGAGTCTCACCTCAAATCTCAAAAACTGTCATAGAAATTCCGTATGAAGTTGGTTGGATATGTATATGAATCGTACGTAGGTTTCTCTTTTTGTTGTGACGTTAATTTAAAGCTTGTACAAACTTTTGAAAAATATTGCATGCATCTATAATCCAAGTTAATTTACGTATATTTTAAATTATTGATTGATACATTTTTGTTAATAATGTTTGTTTGTTTGTCCAGTGGCATGCATTTGAGTTCGTGGTAGTCTGCACGGGAAAATATGGCGACGTACCAAGAATACCGTCGTTTCCGGCGGAGAAAGGACCGGAGATATTCAAAGGGAAGGTGTTGCATTCCATGGATTACTCCAGGTTACGGAAAGAAGAAACTTCTCTTCTCCTCCGCGGCAAGAAAGTGGCCATCATTGGATTAAAAAAATCCGCCATTGATTTGGCTTTAGAGTCTACTTCAGCCAATCAAGGTATACAGAAATATTTTATAAGCCTTTTGATTAATTAACATTTCGGCTGGACTTGAATGTTATTCTCATTGGCACAATTAAAAGTTGCCAACAAGTTTCGCAATAAACCGACCAGATTATATATTCCATGACTTTTATTTTAAATTTTTAATCAATCATGCATGAAATACGATTTGATTACTTTGAAGAAATATCATATACTATTATAACATATTTTAACATTTACAGGAGAAGAAGGGGAAACATGCACAATGGTGGTGAGAACACCACACTGGGTGATACCACATCATTGGGTTTGGGGCCTGCCGTTCTTCTTGTTTTACTCAACCAGAGCTTCTCAATTCCTCCATGATAGGCCTAACCAAAGCTTCATAATTAAGAGACCTCTTTTGTCTCCTCTTTTCTCTTCTGGTTCGTCATCTTTAAACCCTTCATTTCTTCTTCTAGACATTCCGCGTGATCTTGTGAACTTGACCTAACCATATATGTGACAAACAGCGTGCCGTGATTTCCAAATTTATCGAATCATATGTTTTATGGACGCTTCCTTTAGTGAAATATGGTCTTAAACCGGATCATACCTTTGAGGAAGACTATGCTTCTTGTCAATTGCCGATCATACCAGAGAATTTCTTTGATGAAGGTGATAAGGGAATGATCCAATTCAAAAGGACAACAAATTAGTGGTTTTCTCGTGATGGGATTGAGTTTGAGGACGGAACTACGTTAGATGCGGATGTTGTAATACTCGCCACGGGTTATGATGGCATGGAGAAGCTCAAAACCATTGTTCCTCAACCTTTTGGAACTTGGCTCGAGTTTCCATGGGATATCATGCCTTTGTACAGGTACGTACAAGTTTAATAAACTTTTCTTAGGCTATTTCAAAATCTAGTGAAAACTTAATTGAAATATAAAATTAAAATTATTGTAAGAAAACACATGTTTAAAAATTCATTTAGAAAATACGATAACCTTGAAATCGAAGTTTATCTAAAAACTGCATCGGCTACACATAAATATCACTACAAAAAAAGACGGATTGTATCATTTATTTTATTAGTTTACATCATTTTTTTATCGATACAACTAAAATTACAATATTTTTGTGAGTGACTTTGAAAATGGTGACTCTAATATTTTGTATCAATAAAAAAGACCGACATAAATATTTTCATCATTTATTATAACTAATGTTAATATGTGTCACCTATAAAAAATGAAATTAAAGTTTACATCAGCTTGTATAAATGATGTTAAATATTTGTTTTGATTAGAACAATTGATGTTGAATATTTATATCATTTATTTAGTTGACTTTATAATTACATTAGTTATTAAAAAAATTATAATACATGTGATTAATTGATGATAAATTTAATATTAATTTTTTTAGTAAACATAATTTAATCAAGAAAATAAACTAAAAAATTAATCATGTTTTATTAGAATTAAGTCTCCTTGATTTTAGTTGCCCGGTATATATATGACCTTATTTATAATAGAATTTTTTTTCAATCATTCCACAATTGTTAATGTGGGATAATTTAACTTTATCAACTTGCATCAATATTAATATGAAATAACATCAGTTTGATCTACGTGATGTAAAATGATTAAAAAATTATAATTATAATTTTATTAGTATCAATTTTTAGTGATGTAAAATTTAAATCATTTGTTTAGTGATGTTAACATAAATTAACAAATGCATCAATTATTAAATTGATACAAATCCATATTTTTGTATCAATTTTGTTGAAATGATGTAAACTAATAAAATTTTGTAGCAATTTTATTAAAATGATGTTAAATTAATAAATAATAGTATCAATTAACATAAGTGATCTTAGACAACAAATTTTGTATCATTTATTAATAAGTAATTCAAAATATTATCATTTATTTTTGAGATACTATTTAATTTATGCAATACACACATTTTTGTAGTGTATGGACATGCTAAACGCTAATTCTAGACGGTTGACAAATGAGAAGATCATAATATATATAGTTTTTTTGGTTAACAGTCATATAATTATTATGATATATATAGTTTCATAATGATTTCTATGATCTACGGTAATGGGTGGCGTTAGTTTGTCCTCCCACTACAAAAAATGACGGAATGTATCATTTATTTTATTAGTTTACATCACTTTTTGATCGAAACTAAGTTTACATCATTTTTATTAGTGACTTTGAAAATGGTGTTTCTAATATTTTGTATCAATAAAAAATACCGACATAAATATTTTCATCATTTATTTTAACTTATGTTAATATGTGTCACCTATAAAAAATAAAACTAAAGTTTACATCATCTTGTATAAATGATGTTAAATATTTGTTTCGATTAGAACAATTGATGTTGAATATTTGTATCATTTATTTAGTTGATTTTATAATTATATTAGTTATTAAAATATTATATTATCTGTGATTAATTGATGATAAATTTAATATTAACTTTTTTAGTAAACATAATTTAATCAAGAAAATAAATGTTTTATTGGAATTAAGTTTCCTTGATTTTAGTTGCCCATAATCGGCATATATATGACCTTATTTATATAAGAATTTTTTTTTTCAACCATTCCACAATTGTCGATATGGAACAATTTAACTTTATCAACTTGCATCAATAATTAATATGAAATAACATCAGTTTGATCTAAGTGATGTAAAATGATTAAATAATTATAATTATAATTTTATTAGTATCAATTTTTAGTGATGTAAAATTTGAATCATTTGTTTAGTGATGTTAACATAAATTAGCAAATGCATCAATTATTATATTGATACAAATCCATATTTTTATCAATTTTGTTGAAATGATGTAATCTAATAAATTTTTGTATCAATTTTATTAAAGCGATGTTAAATTAATAAATAATAACATCAATTAACATAAGTGATGTTAGACAACAAATTTTGTATCATTTATTAATAAGTAATTCAAAATAT